TAATAATAATGCTACTACTACTTACATTACGAATACTACCACCACTAGTACTACGACCAACGCTAACTGTAGCAGGCGAGGTAACTTGTCTGGATGTTCGAGAATTCATAGGTTATGAGGAGTGCATTATGAACCAATCGAAATAAAGTGTATATCACATGTACTGATTATCAGTGACTCCATACACAGTATTCATGCGGTCTTCCCTCACAGTGCCGGCTAACATGCGTGGGGCCCAACTGCAGATCTTTCTCGATTGTGCAAAGCGCAGTCCATTTCTGCACAGTTCAAACCACGGAGAATGCTCAGTTCAGCCTACTCGTCACCTTTACTCAAGCAATCCTAACTCTCAATCAACCTTTTGCTCGATTACAAGGTGCTCAACTGTTCCCTCACCTTTTGATCGCACGCAATGTTTCTAACTGTCCATGCATATTTCGATGGCTTACAAGCTCCGGCATATCAGCCTTCAGTGCACCAAAGGAGGCCAATGATGTGAACCAGATCAGTCCCTTTGTGGCTTTCGCTTTCTTGCCTACGACGCCTTAGCTCGACTACCCAAAATGACCCCGAACTAACAGCTTGAACCCGTGCAAGGAAAGCAAAAAGAGTAGACAACCCTTAATGAGGTTTTATTAAAAATATTATACCGGTGGATATACGGTATATCCTGAGGTAACTTTACATGTTTGCACGCAAACAACTTCCATTTAGTTTTTGCCTTCGTAGGGGACTGTCTTGTCAATTTTAGAACTCCTCCTCCTCGCCTTCACCCTCTCCTTCCACGCTGTCGGCACCCACTTCCTCGTAGTCCTTCTCCAGAGCGGCCAGATCTTCACGGGCCTCTGAGAATTCTCCCTCTTCCATGCCCTCACCGACATACCAGTGTACGAAGCAACGCTTGGCGTACATCAGATCAAACTTGTGATCCAGGCGAGCCCAAGCCTCGGCAATGCTTGTAGAGTTGCTGAGCATGCAGAGAGCGCGTTGCACCTTGGCCAGATCGCCACCGGGAACAACAGTTGGTGGTTGGTAGTTGATGCCGATCTTGAATCCGGTTGGGCACCAGTCCACAAACTGAATCGTCCTCTTGGTTTTGATAGTGGCAATGGCCGCATTGACGTCCTTTGGAGCAACGTCTCCTCGGTAGAGCATACAACAGGCCATATATTTACCGTGGCGGGGGTCGCACTTGACCATCTGATTGGCGGGCTCAAAGCAGGCGTTGGTGATCTCAGAGATGCTCAGTTGTTCGTGGTAGGCCTTCTCAGCAGAGATGGTTGGTGCGTAGGTGACCAGAGGGAAGTGAATTCGTGGATAAGGCACCAAGTTGGTTTGGAATTCAACGAGATCCACATTGAGCGAACCATCAAATCGCAGGGAGGCTGTAATTGAGCTGACAACTTGGGCCACCAGTCGGTTCAGATTGGTATACGTGGGCCTTTCAATGTCCAGATTACGTCTAAAATGGACAAAGTAATTGGTAGACTTTAAGAACTCAAAAGCGTGCAAGTCGACTCAGCAGTTGACAACTCACCTGCAAATGTCGTAGACGGCTTCATTATCAAAGGCCATACAGCAGTCTGCGTGTTCCAGGGTAGTGTGGGTGCAAAGAATGGCATTGTATGGTTCGACAATCGCGGTAGAAATTTGCGGAGCGGGGAAGATGGAGAATTGGAATTTCGACTTCTTGCCGTAGTCTACGCTGAGACGCTCCATCAGGAGGGATGTGAAACCGGAGCCGCTGCCACCACCATAAGAGTGGAATACAATGAAGCCCTGCATTCCGGTGCACTGATCGGCCAGTTTTCGGACACGATCCAAGACCAGATCAACCATCTCTTTGCCCACAGTATAATGTCCTCGGGCATAGTTGTTGGCTGCATCTTCTTTGCCGCTGATGAGCTGTTCGGGGTGGAAGAGTTGGCGGTAGGTTCCAGTTCGTACCTCATCTTGACGATCGGACAAAGACATTCAGTGGCGCAGTAAATAAGCTACTTTAAAACATCCTAAATACCCAGAAAAGGTTTAGGGACACTAAGTGGACGTCTAGAAGAACGTCCGCTATCCTCCTGTAACCATGGAGACCATGGAAACGACCCTAGCAACCATTACAGAAAAACGCCAAATCTGCTGCAAAGTACCCCTGGGGAAACGATCGGATTGCTTTTAATCTAAACTTAGAGCATAAAGGAAAGTTGCAAGACACAGATACTCACCAACCACAGTCGGCTCCAAGTCAACCATTACTGCCCGTGGAACATGTTTCCCAGCTCCGGTTTCACTGAAGAAGGTTTGAAAAGAGTCGTCGCCGCCTCCAATAGTTTTGTCACTGGGCATCTGGCCGTCAGGCTGGATTCCGTGCTCCAGACAGTAGAGTTCCCAACAGGCATTTCCCGTCTGTACACCACCCTGGCCGATGTGAATGCTAATCACTTCACGCTGCAAGGAGGAAGCAAGAAGGAGGATTAGAAAGGGCTAGCCACTCAGAGGAGAGAACGGATAGGAGCTAGCAACGCCACAGACCATGTTGAGGAGGAGAAGGCAAGACTGCTGACTTCCTGGATGCCCACGAAGCACCGAAGCGCAGAGTGCGAATACTGCGGCTGCGCCTGGAAACGCTTTATATATGAAACTGACAGGACGGGCATTCAAGTCGGTCGACGACAATCGATCCGCTTCTAGGCGAGCCACGTGGTCGGGAACTCGAGACCTCATTGGCTAGGAGCCCCGTAAGCGTCGCTTACAGGTTCGCTTAAAGTACAACAGGATACATCCCAAACACAAAATGAAGCCCTAATATTAAGACCTTATAAATATGTTAATCCCGAAAAAATCCCTAGAACAGAAAGAAAACTTCACCCAAAAGTGGAAACGTGTAAGATGACGTCAAATAAAATGTGATGAATATAGAATTGGGTAATTTAGATAGCTCTGAAAGCCATCAAAAGGTTTAGAAAAAATATGAGAATGTCTGCCTAATATGATGTAGATGATACCATAAAAATTTCAACAAACTTTTGCTAGTACAAAGAGAGGTGAGGATTACTTATATGACCCCATAAAGACCACCAGGGAATAGGAACGTCTCGTTTACGTAATAAAAGTAACCATGCGCATAATTCCGTAAACGACAAATTTACCGTGTCCCACCCCTTATTCCAGCCAAAATTGTGGCCCTAACCTTAACTATAACCCTGCAGTTAACACTTACCCTAACCTTGACCCCGATCTTGACCTTAACTTACCTTGGAGCCGATCCTAACCTTAACGTTAAACCTCCCCTTAACTTAACACTAAACCTAGCCCAAGTTTCCCTGGAATTTGGCGCGAAGCCACCTGTCTTGCGAGTGGTTCTTGTCCTCATGTCCTACATAGGGGACCATACAAGTAATCCTTGCATGCAGAAGTAGTTGTATACCTAGGAGCTTTTAGCTAGTACCCCTGCTGACAGGTATAGTATATTGTCTGTCCAATGTGTAAACAACTGGTTGCCTGTTGGCATCTTATGAATATTACGCGGTTATTTCGCTACAGATGATGAACTTCTGTCTCTTGAGTCTCAACTAGACCGATCTACTCTAAGTTAGCGCTTAATTTCCTAGGAAATTAGAAAGCAACAATTTCTAAATTGGTGTATGTACCAGAAGAGCACACGGGAAAAGCTGGGAGACCCACTGATGAGCCGAACGCCTCGCAGCTGTTATGCAGCGGCAGAATATTAGTGAAACATGTGTCTGGTCTTTTAGCTTGTGCCTGTTCTGTCAGTTATGGTACCTCCTCCTGAACAGTAGTTGAACAGTAGTAGATAGACTGACCTTCGTACGACAGTGATGGAAGACTGAAAGAGGGGCGGGCTTCGCACTAAAACATGATAATTAGCCTCCATCCTCGGAGGAAAGAGGTCGCGCACGGGCTACAGAGTAACCAATAACAAAGCCCGAATGGCAGCAGAGCTGAGGAACGGAAACAAGAACAATTTCAGTCGCCCCCTCGCATTTTTCCTTTAAACATGCCCCGAACAGAGCCGGCGATTCATAATGATGTAAAGTTGCCCTGCATCTGTCTGTTTTCTCACACCCACGGTTTACTGATGGCAGGACAAAGTCAAGACAACCGGAGAAGGGCATGGTTGCGGGTTGTTGACAAAACTAAATAACCTGTCTACGCGTGCCACGCGCAAGCCAATCCCGAACACCAAGGGCGTCAGACATCGCTATGGGGGATCTCGAAGCAGGTGAAACTGTCATTTGGGACCACAACAGGGTCAAGTCATCGCAGCTTGACCGTCAGTCGTCAGGAGGGTTGCGGGTCGTCCCTCTAGATGACAACTTTCCGTGTCATTGCGACTACTACCTTGTGATAGTTTAAAATCACAATAATTTGTATTCAGTGAGGAAGTAGGCTGAGTTGGATTGATCTCAGTGCATGCTCTCTCTTCCGTAAACTAATGGCTTCGTTGAATCAGTCCAACTGTGGATGTGATTGGGTGCCGTGGCTGATGTGATCTTCCTCCCCGCAGGCAGCCTGCATGACTGTCACCCACTTCACATAAGTAAACTTCAGAAAAGACACAGCCCTCGCACGAGTGAGATGTGTAGTTCTACGACGTTTGACTCTACGCAGTTGCGCTGGTAAATTGCACCATGGGGCTGTGGCATGAGTAATGGTTGTGATGTTTTACTGCCGTCTGACGCCCACATGCATATGACCCGGCATACGTATAGAGAAGGCCTGACAGTGTGTGCTATGCCAGTATCAGCAAGCCATTGCCCTCGCGGCCTGGTATGCGCTAGCAGTTCCCTGCCAGTGGATGCGCTTGCGCTCCCGCTGGGTGGTGGACATGGCTGCCCAGGCACCATCCTCGCCCCTCTGACCCCTGTTGGGGTGTTGTTGTTGGCCAAGTGTATGTTATAGACCAGAAGGGGTGTGGTGGTGCGCCCGGGTGCGGGTCCGACGGTGCCAGCCACCTGCGCTCTCTCCCGCCTCCGGTCTTCTCGACTATGCCTTGACACTGGGCCCAGGTGGGGAAGAGAGAGTGCGGTGGATGCTGCGCAAGTCTACTATCACTATAAACTAATTAACGCGCATGTCACCGTGCCTGTTGTACCTAGTTTGCCTTGCTTAATTTCCGAGGAAATTATTGCGCGAACTTGGAGTAACTCTTTCGAAACAGGCCTTTTCAGGCACGGTCCGAAATTTGATATGAATATTTGAGCTGAAATCCATCAGCTACTGCGGAATAACAGCTTAATATTCACAAACCGCCAACAGGCAGCCAGTAGTATAGCATTGTGCAATAATTTACCGTACTAACAACACAGGTATTAGCTAAAAGCCCAGACACGCGTGTTTCGCCGATCTTATGCCGCTGCCTGACGCAGCTGCGAGGGGTTCGGCTCGTCAGTGGGTCCCCCAGCTTTCTCCGTGTGTTTTCTGGTATATGAACTCCAGTTTCAACTTGCCTTGCTTAATTTCCGAGGAAATTATTGCGCGAACTTGGAGTAACTCTTTCGAAACAGTACCTAGTTGTGTAGCACGCGGTGGACATCGTCGGAATGGACGGTGGAGCTGTCGAGATATTCAAGCTCTATGCCGAAAGACCTGAAATCCAGATCCCAGATCAGTATCCACTGTGAGTTCTACCAACTGAACCACAGCCTGTGGGCTGGGATCTGGAACTTTTAAAGATCGGAGCTCCAGGGCAATCCCGAGCGCCCACTTTGCTGCCCTGCTTACCAGGACAATTTAATTGAAAATTAAGATGGTGCCTTACAGAGGCAAGTTATAGAAGAATGCCTCCCTCACGAAGTTCTATAGTCAGTTTTGTCGATTCTTTTGCGATATATGAAGGGTTAATCTGTTTGTTGGCCACCACTTTGGTATTGGCAGCAATACGAGATCTTGTATTTGGTGCAGCTGTGCTGATGCCTGATCAAGCCGGCCTCGTTGATGTTGTGAATTTTACCTCTTCATGAACGACGATCTAAGACAGCGGATCTGGAGGGCTCGACTCTGGATCTTGAGAGCCCGACCCAATACCACCTAAGGAGCCTTTTTGTTCTGAAGAGTCGAACAGCTTGGTATGTTCCTACTACTATGCGCTGTTCTGTCAAAAATTAACGGGGGCCAAATATGCATGGTACACACGAGACGCGGTGCTTATGTCACGTCAGCCACCGGGTCTGGTCTTAACTCCAGTCGGCCGGGCCTAGGTCACGTCACTCATTCGTTGTTCACGAGACCGATCCTGCAGAAATCCTTCTGTACTTGAAGAAGGAGACGCAATCGCTGGGACAAGAGCTTTATTAGCTGGTTCAAATCCTAGTCAGGTGTTTGTTGTGAGCCAGTGCGTGTGATGGTACGCCTAGGTGCTGGTTCGACTGTATTAGCCACCTGCGCCCTCTCCCGCCTCCGGTCTTCTCGACTATGCCTTGACACTGGGCACAGGTGGGGAAGAGAGAGTGCGGTGGATGCTGCGCAAGTCTACTATCACTATAAACTAATTCATGCGCAAGTCACTGTGCATGCTCGCCTTGCTGTATAGCTCACGGTGGACATCGCCGGAATAGACGGTCGAACTGTCCTAGAGAACGATGGCATAATGGAGACCAACAATGGCTGGTAGCGTGTATATCCACATGGCCAGTCGAATGGAAACAATTCGGCTATGGAGGGCGGACGTCAGCTGCGTCTTAACAATGGTCCTTTGAAATTTCTGACCGGTGCAATCCTAAACCGGGACATTGTGTTACAGTGAGAGGAGTTAAAGGGATTTTCCTCAGTGATGATGACGATAATGATAATGAGGACGGGGGTGTTGGTGGTGGTGGTGGTGGTGGCGGCGACAACGGCGGTATTGGAAGATGCAGGGAGCAAGTTTGCCGTCTTGGCGTCGCGGTGGTTTTGAAGATGTTTAGCAAAGTCGGCCTATGCGCTGAGTGTCAGCGGATATCCTAACACCAAGAGTGTCGCCACGCATCAGGAGACTTCCTCGAGTTGGCGACTACGACTAACCTGAGAGGCCATCCACTCAAATTACGTGTGACTGGTACCCAGCTAGACACAAGAAAGTTCTCCTTTTCCAACAGAGTGGTTGCAGCTTGGAATGTTTTGCCTGAGGATGTTGTCATGTCGGGATCCGTAGACACTTTTAAACGGAGGCTAAACAACATTGGAGCGCGTACCACAATAACGCCGGACTACAGCCACCTTGATAGCCAACGCTGACAATTTTGTCTTATGACGGTGCTACAACCAATATTCAAGTAACGTAGGTTTATGTAATTTATTAATTTTGAACCACGTCGGTGTTGGTGTTGGTGGTGGCGGCGGCGGCGGCGGCGGCGGCGTAAACGGCAACGGCGATATTGGAAGATGCAAGGAGCAAGTTTACCGTCTTGGCGTCGCGGTGGTTTCGAAGATGTTTAGCAAAGTCGGCCTATGCGATGAGAGTCGGCGGATATCCTAACATGATTTGGATGCTGGCGACGTTGGTCTGCGAAATTCCCGATCTGCCCAACTGCCATATCACAGTGGCTTCCTTTATTTGGTTGTCCTTGCGGGTGCCTGCTTCACTTCTTGCTACAACGTTCAAGACCTGATAAGCTCATGAGAGGCTTTTTAAGGGCTCTTAATTAGTTTCACGTCCACTCTGATAGGCTCTAAAGCTGTCGACGTATTGACGTCTTTATTCAGCTTGTTCTTCATACCGATAGTCATTCCGAAGCCTGAACACTTGGGGTGAAGAGGCCCACGCTTATCTGCACCTCCAGTCCGACTGTGGTGTTCAGTGCTTGATCGTTCGGGGGTAAGAAGTCGTGCACATTAACGCCCTACATTCTCTTTTCTGCCTATATATGTCGGAAGCTGAGTAACTGTTTGCCTTTTCGGTAATTCATATTGATTCCAGATCGCCCCCCACAAAAGATGCCCATAAGAGTAGCGCGAGAACATGAGGCTGAAGAGGGGTTAGAAACTGCGTCGATCTGCTTCTCACCAGACGCTCTCGACACTGATTTGTAGAAGTCTGCCTCCGCGATCGCCACAACGGTGAAGAATACTCATACTTTCTCTCTCTCTCCCCCCCTTCCTCGACTTCTACTTGAGAATCTACGAATGGTTGGCCATCGAATCCCGACGAGTGGTGACTCCTTGCGAACACCAGTAACTTTTCCTTTCCAGTACGCGACAAGTTCAGGCGTTAACGATGGAAAACCATTCTCCAGAAATGCATGATATCTTAGCACCCGCTTGTGGCATAATTTTGCCCACACAACTCAGTTAAAAGGTCAACCGGCTAAGGAAGAGTCGACGATTCGTGGCGCTTTCAACTCCGCCAGCTTCTTCCGCGTCTGCACTCTCGAACTGGAGATCACAGATGGCGAATCTTGCACGAGATTTAACACCTTCCCTGTGGCAATAAACTTCCAATCCATTCCAGAACGCATCGAGACCAGCCATCCCGCAAGTCTGGCATATTCCCTTCATTTCGCACCAGCTCAGCTACCATTTGCAGGTATCTTCCCACATTTGATGCCAAGGCTCGTGGCTGCGACTCCCCCTGCTCTTAGCTCCCGAAACATAGCCAACGGGAGAAAGGAGTCAGCTCGAAGATCAGTGAAGTCTACCTTCCTGACCCTCTCTGGTCCTGGTCGCACATTCTACGCCTGTGACAGGCTTGTCGAAAGTGGTGTGGTCGACAAGACAAAGAGTCCCAATCAAAAGTCGGGGAAGACGGAGTGTGCTGGACAACCTCCACTGCTGTCGAAGCGCGTACACAAGGGCTCTACAAGCAGTCGCCGCGAGCGCGCTCCCCAGGCCAGTTGTGCTGTTTGTGTCCGCCGTCGAGATGCTCAGACTCAACGCATGTGTGCGCCTTTCGATGTCTCTGCGTCCGCCAGCCAATCAGCGGTGGGACAGCGTTGATTGGCCTCGAGAGCTCGCACGTCCCATCAGCGACTCGACAGGGGGTGTGAGGTGGACAGGAGGGCAGCGTGACAAAGGCGGAGGGCGAGGAGACGCGAACTGCCACAGGCTGACTTGCAGAAATTTCCTCGTGGACACCAGAGTCCAGATCAGCGTGATTCCTTCCACCCCAGCCGACCGCTACCGTCCCAACCCTGATCTTCGCCTCCAGGCTGTTAGATTTTGCCCAATTCCCACGTTTGGCAGCCTGTCCCTCGCATTGAACATCGGCCACCTGGATCGCACCGACCCCAAATTGTGGTGAGTGCTGAGACCTAGTCCGACCAAAGTAATTAGTTACTGAGGGAGTGCGCAGGCCGGTGAGTCAAGTGGTCGAGCAATCGTCACGCCAACAGTCAACACAGGTGATGAAATTTCAACAATTAACAACTTGTAGGCCGGCCACCAAGCCATTAGCGCGCCAGCGGGAAATCATCCTCGATGAAGGGGAGAGCAGTTTATTATCATAGAGACTGCATCCTATAAATATACCAACTACCTGCGCATGAATTGCCCGTATCTGATAATTTGTCTGATGATGAGTTCGAGCGTGAGTCCGAAACGTCAGGCGAACAGGGCTCCTGTTCCAGCGATCGCTTCTACTTCTCATCAACCACTTTACGCAGCCCACATTTTTGCTTGTATCTACAGCAGTTGTTTGGCGCGGTTCTTCAGCAACACCTTACCGGTCCGACCCGACCATCGGTTTTATTCTCCAAGAAACTCTCAACGGCCGAAACACGATATAGAGTACCGTTGGCCTTTAACTGCTCACCACCTACTTGACCGTGAAGCATTTTCGGCATCTCCTGGAAGGACGCCATCGTTAATTTCATGGACACCAAACAGCTGAAGTTTATTATTACCGGCAAAGACAAGGGAGACAGGAATGGCCATTTATGACTTATTAGCCGTCGTCAGCCAGTCATACCCAACCTCGAAGTGTAGAACATATGAGGCTTATACTCGCGACCTGTTGGTAAAAAGTTCACACCTCTAACCACTGGGCCACGAGCCCGTTGCCCTGTCGGTTTTCGATTGGGAATATACAATGGTAGGGGGCGCAAACCGATCGTTTTTCCGGAACTCACTCGTTCCGTTGTGCCTTATGGGCTCTCCCTCGAGCCCAACCAGCAGCCGCACAGCGGCGCATGATATAGGCAGTATGTTATTACCGACAAAGTTTCCCCTGCGATCTCATTTTGACAGAGAGAGACTGTCCACCTGAACTCCGTTTCATAATTCGCCACAGAAATCCGTCACATCGGTGGCACGACGAATGAGCTGGCTGACATCCTGTTCAGGCTTCCGCTCGCCGCACTTCAGCTTTCGCGTGGGATCGATATTGGTGTCGTGGCGACAGAGCAACGACGAGTCATTCGTCCTGAGGATGAGTCATTCAGTGGTCACGATCTTTTCCCACTATAAACAGTCTGACGCATTTTATGCTATCACGGTGCGTTAAAAGCCGTGGCTTGGAAGGTTGCCAACTGACGGGATAACTTAGACCTCGCAATCACCTCAATGTGTGATTGGGTGGAGTGGCAGACTGGTGGACTGAGAGTCAGGCTGCAATGGCTCCTTCTTAACGTGGACCCTATGGCACTCCCACCCAGCGGGATTGGTGCCGGGTGTGGTGACA